TGCATCAATTAATAATTACAATCATCTTAATAATTGAACGAGAAGAAACCTTCAAGCTCTTTCAAAACTTGACCGTTTGTTGCCATTGCAGATTTTCTAATCACTTACAACCATTATTACACCTAAAAAATATGTTCAACAAACTGATGATATTCACCTGCAACACCTTTAAATGATATTATTGGTCAAGAAAATGAGTTAAATTCTTTAACAGTAAAATATTCAACTGTAAACAAATAGTTGAAACTTTAGAAATTAAAAATTGTGTGCAATCTAAAATTAATATTTAATAGTGTAACTAGTATTTTTGCATTAATATAATAATATGAAATATTCATAATATTTGGAAAAGATAAAAATCACGAGATCGTTTAAAAAATGAAGTAAAATAACAAAAAAATATGCCATAAATATTGAATGATTACTTCGGTTGAAACTAAATATACTTTTATTCATTGCTATATAAAAATTACAATCAAATTTCTACATTTACTTCAAATTACATTCAAAAATCTTCTCCATCTAATGTTTTGTTATCTTGTTGAAAATGTCTTTTCATTGCATAGCTATAATCCACTTCATTATCATCATTGTCATTATCATCATCAAATTGTTGATCTTCATTGATTTTTGATGTATTTTTTTCATCCGTAGTAAAATCACGTAATTTTAGCTTATCACAAATGACGTCTTGTATTTCTTTGCTCAAATAATGATTCAATTCGATATATGGTTCACGTTCTTTCAATTGTTGTATCAATGAGTAAGCCTTAAAGAAAAAGTGCGGTAAAATTACAGTAAGAGAAATTTCACAAATTATTTTACAAATTTATTAATTTGAAAGTAAAATGGATAGTTGTGTAAATTCCTTTTGCAACTTCAATTATGAACTTTTGTATAATCTGTTGTGTGAACATAATGTGCGATCATCACAGCATAAATATCGCCAAGTCGTATATTCGTACAAACTTGTGTATCATCTGCAAATGCTTCTAGTTGTCGAATTGCATCGATTGGATCCAATTCATAAATACTGAAAATATAAAATTTTCAACATTTCGCAGGGAAAAATCTAAAAGTTTAAAATTTAAATTGAAATTTGTAAAAAAACTCGAAATTTTTACTTTCTAATTTCAATGAATTCTTTAATATTTCCAATAGTTTCATGTAATCTCGCTTGTTTTTCCGTTAAATATTCATCATTTTTTTTAGGATTATTTTGTAATGCTTTTGTAATACAACGTAATGATTCATTAAGTGCATCGATCGCTTTATTATAATCACGATAATCATCAATTTCAACCTGAAATAGAAACTAACTCACTCTCTTATTCCTTATTCATTATCACAAATTATTTGGTTAGTTCAAAGTTAACATTTTAAAATCACTCATATCACTCTTTATCAATTTTTAATATTAGCACATTATCAATTCTTCATCAATTTTTATCAATTTTTGATGTTAACGCATTCTTCAATTTACAATTATAAAAGTTAAATATCTTTCAATCAAATTATTCAACTTTTAATACAGCAAACGAAAATTACATATTTTAATACAGTTCATTTTAGTGTTGTCAATATTTTCTTATTCTCAACATATCTTAGTTTTTGATTAGCGTTAATTTCAAATTCTAATTTTCGGTCTGGTACCACGAAAGCTTTTCTTTTCATTGCCTTCTATAACGAGTGTAAATCATCGAAAAGATTTATGATTTAACTTTAATAATTGCATATATCTTTTTTAGGTGTAAAAATTCAAATAAAAATTTGATTAGATAATTAAACAAATAATTATTACCTGCGCACAAGCTTCATAGAAGCTAGACAAATGTTCGTATGCGTTAGCTTTATTATAAAATAATTCAATTTGTTTCATTAGATCACTATCTTCCTTCCAATTCAATGTTTGCAAATAATTAGCTGCTAGAATATAAATTTCTTTATTTCTTGCTGCTGTTGCAAAAAATATAATCCTTCCAGTATCACCGGATTTGATTAACGATCGCATAGCCTAAAATATAATTAATTAATTGAAAAATTTATTTGATCTTCACTATAAGTCAATTTTTTCATCAATCAATTAAGTTTGTGTCAGTTAATTTGTTGAATGTTATTTCAGTATTACATAGAATTCAAAAAAATTTAGAGATAATACTAATAATAATAAAAACTACAAATTAACTGTAGTTTACACTGTACAAATTAACTATGTACTATTCTATTCTGTTCTATTCCTATTCTATTCTATTCTATTCTATTCGATTCTAATTCTATTCTTTCTATTCTATATTCTATTCTGTTCTATTCCTATTCTATTCTTTATTCTGTTCTATACTGTTCTATTCTGTTCCATTCCTACTCTATTCAGCTTTATTCCATTCCTATTCTATTCTATTCCTATTGCATTCAAATTCCATTCTATTCTATTCTATTCTATTCCACTCTATTCCATCCTATTTCATTCCTTTCTATTCTATTCCTATCCTATACCTACTGCTATTCAATTCTACTTCATTCTAATAGGGAAGATTTTGAGAAAGCTGGAAGTATTCTTCGTTGCTTTAAGTTCAAAAAAGAAAGTTCTTAATTCTTAATTTAATTATACTCTACCAAATAAGAACCAAGTAGTACAAAACGAAAAACACTACTCATTATGTTAGGTTAATATAATACCGATTATTGTAATTTTATTAATTTTGAAATGAATAAAAAAAAAAAATTGACATCCAGCTTATTTCCAGCTTGTGTATATTTTTTCGCAGCAAAATGATAATTCCGTTGTTGTACGCAACATTCGGCTATTGATTCCAGAAGTTTTATCCGATCAGCTTCATTTGATATTTCTCCTAAATTATGAATCGCTTTAAAAATGCAACAAAACTCTATCAAATAATAAGAGAACAAAAATTTGACTAAAATATCTTAAGAAATGAGTAAGACAATAATTCAACCTTTTTGATTTATATGCTAAAATAACAATATATTTTATAATTTCAAAGTTGTCATAAATTATAATTATCTAAAAATTGGTTAATATTTCAGTCAAATTTCCCTTGATTAATTTAGAAACTTAATTTAAATAGGCAAAACTAATTAAAAATTTATTCATTCACAATTAATTGGAATTGTGTCAAAAAACAACCCAACATTTGATATAAACTTTTTCATCTAAATTACTAAAATTACCTTTTGAAGGTGTTAAAGCTTCCGCTAATGCCTCATTCATTGGAACATTTCGCTGTTTGCATAAATCAATTGCTTCGGAGTACTATAAACGATTAATGAGCTAACTTAAGAAAAAACAATGACGAATTAAAATTTGGCCTAAATATTTTATCATATTAATTTGAAATATACCTTTTTTGAATAAGCTAAAAGTTGAACAGCTTTATTATATTGTTGATTAGTTTTGAAAAATTCCGCAGCTCGTTCAAGAATTCGTGGATCTGAATTTTGATCGAGCTCATTGGTAATCAAATCTAATGCACTAAATTGCTCGGTACGAAATGCCAAATCAAGTGCTCGACTAATCATACCAGCCTGAAAAATGAAAACACTAAAATCCATAACATTTTTAGATTTCTTTCATATTTTGATCCTATCAAATATTATAGTGATAAAGGAAGAATTTTTAAACATAATACGATCAGATTGAAAATGTTAATTTTTTTCAAAGTTAAATTAAAATTTCAGTTTTCAAAAACGAAATTATTTGTTTATGTTTAGGATACCTTATGATATAACATGACAGCTTTATCAGCTTCACCCGGTATATTTTCATAATATTGTGCTGCTTCAACCAATTCATTTCCACCAGCCATTAAAGCCAAATTAGCAATTTTATCTTTCATATTATTCTCCTGCATTATATTATTATACAATGATAACTTTTTGTTTTAAAATAGTTTAAAATAATAAAAAGTAATTTTTTAATTACAAATATTTGACGTTAAAAAAAATAATTAAAATATTGCAAAAATCACATACGATAATTTCAAACCATTTCATTTAATTTTAATGCATGCAATTTGCAAATTGTAAATTAATAGAGTAAATGATAGATAATAAATACTTTCGCAAGACGTAATGCATTCCTGCATGAATGTGCTTTTGTGAAAAATGCTACTGCCATATTTACATCATCATGCGCTTCAAAATATTGTCCCAAATGATAGCACGATGCTTTATCACCACTAGTATTCGCTACTTCAATTGCCTAAAAGGTAATCAATAATGAAATAATAAAATTAAGTAATCAATAATCGAATAATAAAATCAGGTAATCAATAATGAAATAATGAAATTAGGTAATCAATAATGGAATAATAAAATCAGGTAATCAATAATGAAATAATGAAATTAGGTAATCAATAATGGAATAATAAAATCAGGTAATCAATAATGAAATAATAAAATAGTTCCTCGAATTTTTTTTGAGAAAAATCTTAAGCATAAAAATTTGTTGAAAATTAAAAAAAAATAAACTCTAATAAGTCATTTTAATAATTTTCAACAAAGATGAATTTTTGAACTTTGTCATAATTTGCAATTCATACGAAATTTCTGCATTTTTCTTCATCATTTATTTTTTCCTTTTCTTTTTGCAAAATGTATTTTATTATGAAATTTTGAAATTTAAAAAATGAAACGATAAAAAAGTATAATTTTGCAAAATACAAAACTTATATTTCTAATTTAAGCAGAATATAATTTACTATGAAATGTTGAAATTCGACGTATAATTTCAATGCAAAATTTCTATTTCTAATTTAAACTTCTTTTGTAAGAAAAATTTAACAAAAAAAATTTGATATTATTACTTACTTCATTTATATTATTGATATGACAAAGTAAACGAACAACCGATAAATAATCTTTGGCGTGCTGATAATATAAATGTGCTGTTTTAATATCACCTTTACTTTCCATATATTGAGCCCACCATTTTTGTATACCACTATGGAATTAATATTGATTTAACCAGCTATCATATTAATAACGGCAATATTGATAATGATAATGATAATAGTAAGTAATAGACATTCTACGATAATATTTTCATAATGAATCATTGAATCTGGTTAAAAGATAAAACTGAAATCATTAATTTCTATCTACTTTTTTTTGTGGGATAACAATTTATGCATAATTACGTAAACTTACGGATCTTTTGTTTTCTTCACATATGATTCAAGTAATTTAGGATGATCAAATAGCATTCGTGGTACTTCAAAACAATGAGTGCCTGATTTTTCGTAGCTAAAATATTACTTTTTGAATTATGATTTTCCAAGTTAATTACATAAATATATTACATAGATGTAATAGCAATATTGATAAGTTGAAATTTGAATAACTAACTTTTCAATTGCACTGTCAATTGAATTAAGTGATTCGAGATAATTTGCATAATTGTAGTAGGTATTCTTTAGATGTATTCGATCATGCTTTTCAGCAATTTTAAAAGCCTGCAATAAGTTTACTAATTTCATTCAAGTTTAGAGTGAAATTTAAAGGTGAATTTTGAATGATAGCTTTTTTACAAATTGATTTCAAACAAACTTCATCCCAACGATTTCGTGTTTGTAAAAGGCGATTAACCAAATCATATCGACGGCAGCTTTCAAAAAGTGCCCGTGCATCATCCTAAAATTTCCTTTTATTAAATAGGCCCTTTTTTGGAATAATTTTAACGAAATAATAGAATACAAAATATTTCGTCTCTCAAACTCTTTTACTCTTAAAACTTACTAATAGGCCTAGTTGAATGGCCAATGTAGCCACTTGAACCTCAATAGGATCACCATTTTTCATTGATTTTCTTAAAGCTCGTGCACCATAAGCATGCCCCATATTCCCGAGGCATACCAAAGCAACATCAAGACGTCGCGTTTTGACACACATATGTGCCATATGTTCCCAAGCATTTTCACTTAAATAATGCATATAATAATTGGATTAGAATAAATCCTCAACTGATAATATTGACAGTATAAAAATTATAATAATCAAAAATTATTAAATTCAAACCTTTTAATAAATTTTATAGCTTTAAATGCTTCATCCATTTTATCAACTGTTATATAATATGAAAAGTTCATCATTGCCTGTAATAATTCTTTTTGAAATTTCAAATTTTCATTTTCATTATAAATTAAATCAATCGTTTAATGAAATCGAAGAGCTAAGACAAGAAAATATATTAAGATAATTAATAATATACATCTTTAATTGTTGCATCAGAATTTTCAATACCAATAAATTCTCGAAGAACTTGACGTAATAACAAATTTCTAATATTCATTTCGTTATTTCGATCTTCTTTTTCATCATTATCCTTGAAGAATATTCCAATTTATTTGATCAAATTATTTGATTATTTGATGTTTGGTCATCACCAAAAGGGCTGATACGAAAGTGATTTGATTAACACCAAAAAGGTTGATATGCAACTGATATTTGATCAACAACAAAAAGGATGATATGCAGCTGATATTTGATTAACACCAAAAAAGGTTGATATGCAACTGATATTTGATCAACAACAAAAAGGTTGATATGCAGCTGATATTTGATTAACACCAAAAAGGTTGATATGGAAACTTTAGAAATGATTTTAAAAAATGAAATATGCCATTTGTGGCAGGAATAAAACGAAAACTAACCCTACGAACAAAATAAATATATGGTACTGTACAACCGAGTAAAACTTCAGCATTTCGAGATTGCAAATGTAAATCTTGCATATATAAGCCATCTTCTGATGTTATAAATATTGATAAGAAATAATTTGGCCCCTAAAAAGAAAAGAAAGTTGAAATAATTTTGTTGAACAATAAAAATATCTGTAGAAAATTTTTAAGCTCAAATATTTCATTCTAAGTTGAAATGATGAAAATAAGATATTATGAAAAATTAAGATGTTATGAATAAACTAAGATATCATGATTAAATTAAGATAATATGAATAACCTAAGATATTATGAATAAATTATGATATTATGAATAAACTAAGATATTATGATTAAACTAAGATAATATGAATAAACTAAGATATTATGAATGAACTGAAAAATTTCAAAAAAAATCAATTAATATAATTTATATATATTTAGTTGAATTTTAATTAATTTTCCATTACCTTTTCTAAATTACGATTAAATAGAAAAGTTGTTACTAAAATAATGAATCAAAATGGAATAGTCAACAAAATTACGAAACGATATGACGGCCGATATCAATGTTTAATTTCATTTATCATTTTTAACGTATATCTTATAATCATAACATAGATATAGATAATACTTTAAAAAAATTTTTTTAAATAAAATTTTCACAAATTGCATACAGTATTTGATTTGCAATAATTTGCTTCACATATCAAATAACGTGAATCATTACTATCCCAGCAATGAAAACCAGGTAAGTAATCCGGGAGATGATAACGTACTTGTTCCTTTTCAATTTTACTGCAATGATTAAGCAAAATTAAGAGTTGGAAATTTTAGCATTACATCAAAAATAATAATTGTTCATATTAAATTTTAAACATTATTAGTTTAAAATATATATACCGTACAACAGCAGTATTTGACCGTTTGTTAGCAATAAGTGTAGCATTATTATCTGCCTCATATTGTTGTTGATCGGTCATACCGGTGATAAAATTGAAATTTGAAACAATATCTGAATCAGCATCCCAGACCATAATAGCTGGATAAACCTGATAAATATAAATCTTAAATTTTTTTAAATCAGTCGTATCAGTTGATCATAACAGGTATTAGCTTGCAATATCCATTGTCGTATTATTTCTATAAAAATTATAAATTCCTGAAGATTCAAAGGAGGCAACTTTTATCATTAACAATATTTTTGTACTCTTCGAATCGAACCTTATTTTGAGATATTACTTTTAATTTTCCCTTATTCCGACTTATCGTTCCAACTATTTGTTCTGTTATATTAGTACGCTTATATGCTGATATCACAGTTTGAATTTAATCTTCAAATTAATTTTACAAATAGATAATATGGTAGTTGAATTGATATATTATTGATTAGTTCATACATTTCCGTTATCATCAGTGCAATAAGTGAAGCTGACACGATTGCCTGATTTGTTAAGCTTAACGCTTAAAAAATATTTAAAGTTTTGCACCACTTTTGGAATATATTTTGAATGATATTGCTGGCGTGCTTCTCTGCAACAAATAAATTACTGAGTTCAAAAGGAAAGAAAAGTGTTCGTTGTTGGAAATGATATTAATATGATAATTAAAATGATATTACTATGATAATTGAAATGATATTAATACGATAATTGAAATGATATTAATATGATGAAATAAAAAAAATTGAATTTTCTACAATTTCATACCTTCCAGATAAATCATAAATACGTATAAATCCATTAATACTAACAATACACAACCAGGAATTATTAATATCAATCATTATCGGATTACCTTCTATTTCAGGCATCGAAATTACCTGCTTTACAGTACCCTAAATTTTGAGGATATTGGATTCATAGAATTAACTAGATTTCTAATAACAATATATTCAACAATAATTTTATCCTAAAATTGTATTACAAACTTTAGAGTACTTTTGATATTATAAATACAAAATTAAAATTTTGAAACTTTTTTAGAAATGTTTGAAGAATTTAAAATTTCATTAATGTAGCAGAATATCATATAACCTGAAATGTTCTAATTCGAATTTTATCATCTTCGATGCAACAAACATTCTGTTGATATAATACAACACTCGAAGTTAAACAGTTGAAAACTGATGCTGATTGTACGCCTAATTTTCCATTGGATTCATTAATTATTTCATATAAATATACCTAAAATATAAAAAGGAAATTTGAGATACGCATAAAAATGCTTAGTTGAGAATTTTAATGCTATAATTATAGCCAAGAGTTGGCTATTGTCGAATAGCTATTATCCAAGTTCAATTTCTCATAATATAAAACATTTGGCTAATTTAGCTAATTGAAATCATCGTTTTTCATCGTATTCTTCTTATTCAGATCTCATACTCTAAATTTCTTGATTCAATTCCTACAATTCAGATCTCATACTCTAAATTCCATGATTCAATTCCTGCAATTCAGATCTCATACTCTTTTCAATTCAGATCTCATACTCTAAATTCCTTGATTTAATTCCAACAATTCTATCAATGTTAGCAAAGAGAATGGAGAAAAGCAAAAGGTGAAAGGTAAGTAATGTGTAAAATTAAGCTTAAATAATATTAATACAGCTTTCTTTCTACTTTTCTACAAACTTGCAAGAAAAAAAGTTAAATATTACTAACATGTTGATCATCCCAAAGTGCCAAATATTTTTCACCCATATGAAGTCCTTTTAAGATAATTGATATCTCTATATCATGTTGTTCCATTGATTGTAAACATATCAGTGAAACTTTTCTTGAACTTGTTTGTAACACCGCTATCTTTACATAATAAAATGTATGAAATTAGAATTTATTTTAAAAATTATGATTATTTTTAAATGGAAAATAAAATAATCTAATTTGAAAAATTTGTTGCAGTTAAAGTCAAACAGCTTAAAAAAGAGGATAGTTGAAAATGCTTAGTTACAGGCTGAAAAATACCGATAAGAAAATAAACTTGGAATTAAACTTCAGTAGATGTTACTACTTTGGTAATCCTAGTTAAAATTTTCGTTCTGATAGTGATTTCTAATCCAAAATTAATATTACAATGAATTATAACGATAAAAAATAGTGATAAATGAATAACGAATAAATAAATATATCATCTAACATTTCCATTCATATGTGAAAGAATTGGTTGTTCCTTCAATAATGTCACAGCATCTCCCGTTGAAACAGCAAGGACACCAGAAATAGTTGACCAACTAATCATTTTAATCTATAAAATTAATTATATTTTAAACATATGAAAGAAATTTGTTCAAGTGTAAATTTACTTTAGATTCAATATTGATTGCTTCTTGCAAAATCCATTGCTGACTAAGTTTTTCGGCATCTCTGTGATAATGTCGCCAATTAGCAATTTTACCATCTGCTGTTCCACCTGATAAACAATCTGAAAATTAATTAAGCTGTTTTAACATAATAATATAAATCACACTTCCTCTTCGATAAACATGTAAACAGATTCATATGAAAAATTACAACACTTGATACATAGGTAAGGGTGAGAATAAGGAAAATAGGAATCATACACCTTTAATATTTGAATATGATAAACAAGTGATAGTATCTGTGGCACTGAAACCTTTTGATGTTTTTAGCGATATAACTCCATTATCATCATTCTTTAAATCCCAAATCCTGCAATTACAGGAAATTTCTGAGTTTAAAATTTTAATTCTGTAAAATATTTACCTTGATAAAATTTAAATTTGATAAACAGTGCAAGGATAGTAAGCAACCGTGAAATATATTTTATTAAAAGATTTATCATTATTTTCCACTTTATTATTCGATCGAAATATTCCACTCTTTGAGATCTAAATTAAAGATGAATAGATCTACTACGTGGTATAGTATAGTCTAAAATATTTGAATAAGCTAACATTTAACTTATATAAAATTAATTACAAAAGATTTTGTAGTTATTTCAACCGATACCGTACTTTATTTCATTTTCACCATCACACATAGCAAGCATATCAGTTCTCATCGTTATTATTTGAAAATTTGGCCATTTTCCATTTATCTTAACCTAAAATTAAATTTCAGAATATTAGAAAATTTATAGCATTACAACAATAATTTTAAAGATTTGTAAATATTGGTTTAATTCTAGAAATAAATTTAATTCAAATTCTTTTTTGGAATTTAACTTTAATAATCATAAATCTCCAAATTGTCATATTTCAGTAAAATAGTTAATATATTGAAAGATATAAGAAACATACACGAATTTTCTCCTCAACTTTACAATCATCGATGAATATGAATTGATGAAGGAATAATTCTCGGCTTAAAGCTAACAATAAATTTTTCGTTTCAATGTAGAATAGCTGTATCACCGCACTATCCAACTAAATATTATTCATTTTCTTTGGTATAATAAATAATTCAATCAATTTGTATCTTTTATAACTGAAAGAGTAAATAATAAAATTTTTCAACAAAATTTCATCATTTAAATTTCAAATTTTAAACCCGATAAATTTCTCGAATTTCGCCATTATGATGAAAAACGTGAATGCCACCATTTTCATCACCAATAATAAAACATTCATTTGAATCCATCTTTTCCTAAAATTTTTATTTTTAAAAATGTAAATTCATATCTTCAAATTTTTCTGCAAGCTTATTACTTCTTTTCACCTTTTATTTTTGCTCCATCAAACATAAGTTTGATTTTGTTAAATTTAAATTATTAGGGGATACCTGAGAAAATTACTTGTTCTCTAATTTTCCAATAAACTTGGAATGATTTTTAATTATAAGTAAAATCTTAAACTTCCTTACATTATTCATTGATGATACTTCCATGTGAGGCTTTTTACATTTATCCTTCAGTTCGGCATTTATTTGTTTCGTATCTTCAGCATGTTCCAATGAATTGCTGGAAAGATTGTTGGTATTTGCTGTTGTTGTTTAATCAAAACTTATTGTTTAATGTCTTCGTTTTTTGCAATTAAAATTTCACTAAATAAAAATATTTTGCATATTTTATTTAAATATAATTTAAATTAGTTTATTATGAATTAATTTATTTGCATTAAATTGGATCAAAATTAATAATTTAACAAATAATAGAAGCTTTTTCTCAAAGGCGAATATACAGCAGCACAGAATCATTATCAAAACACAAGTATTATTTGGAACTGATATCACTGTTATGATAAATATGATCATTCGATTAGGATTATTAATTAGAGCAGATATCACTATCAAAACAAGTATTATTATTAAAATATGTTTTAACAAATTTTCAACGCAAAAATGAAAACCTTTTCAATATCCTTCGACAAATACAATTTGCTTCTTCATTGATTGTACCACTAACTACGACTTTCAACGTTCCTTTTCTATTATCTCTTACAATTCTCCATAAGACTACACCGCCATTCTATTTTGAAATTATATAAGAAATAATAATTAAATTTCTTTTTGCTGCCAGCGGTAATTTATTTATATTTATATAATGCAGCAAAAGTAAAATGATATATATAATTTATTTCAAAAGTAAAAATGAATACTTAAATTCTACCATTTTTTCTGTCGAATTATTTCCATACCTTTTCAACGATGCATATTTTCAACTCACTTATACTCCATAACATATATTTTATTATGCCGTTCGGTTCATTTTTATTAGGAAGCGAAAAATCTAAATCAAAATCATGATTATAACATTATTGATAATGATAATGATAATATTGCTAATAATGATATTGTTATTTTATGAAAATCGTACATCTTTATATGTATATATGTACAAATACATATGTAATTTATTTATTTTGCTGCTCTTAATATTTCAATAAAATTGAACTTTTGTTAGGATATATAACAATATATACTATCAATGATAGTAATGATAATATAATATCTTATCATTAATAATGATGAAAATACGATGTAATAAATAAAACTTTCCTCATACCTTCATCATTTTGAATAAAACGAAACGTAACATCACCAGAATCCCAACTGATTGCAATAATATCAATTACAGGGTGCCAGCAAAGACATATTACACGTGCGTTCGCTTTACGAATGGGCAAATGATCACTTTTATTAGCCTATACAAAAACAAGCATATACTCATTAATATCATATAATACAAGCATATAGAGAGGCTAATTAACTAATTAAAGTAATAATAATAAATAATAGATAATAATAATAAAAATAATAATACATAAATACTAATTAAAAGCAATTAATGATTAAATATATTAATGTATAAATATATACCATAATATAAATAAATCGATATAATGCAATATCAAAGATATATGATAACTGAATTTTGAATTTTGAGCAATTTTCGAGAATATTAACAGTTATTATTTAGGATTAAATTTGCTCCGATATTTAATTTTATTTCTCAATCGTTTATTTTTTGTTCGAAATGTTCTTCTAACTGAATAATTATTATTAGGTTCATTTTTCCTGTCAACAAGTGAAATTAAATTTTCATTTCTTCGTTGACAATTATGATAATGAGAAGTTCATTTTCTTGTTGACAGTTGTGATCAAAGTAAATAAGCATAAATGTTTGAAAGTTTTAATTGCTATAAAATAGATATAAATATAATCTTTGTTGTCATATATAGAAAAGAAGAAAAACATCAAACTCAATAAGCATTACAAAAATGCTTACTAATTTAACTAGTAATTCTTATTTCTAATTAATTGTTGACATAATAAATTATTAATGATTATATTTTGCTATCTTAAATTTACGCTTACACTTAATTACTGAATATTTATTTAATTGATGATTTGATACTTACTTGATGAGTGAAAAAACTAATTTCACTTCCGACATTTGCGCGATATGTTGTTAGAGCGAGTAATCCACTGATCGGATGCCATTCCATTAATTCATGTTGTATTTCATCATTATCATCATTATCATTAATTCCATCTTTTTTATCATCAACTTTCTCTCCCACTAATACCGACATTGCGTTTTAATTTTCTTCTTGATTTATCGGATATTATAAATCATACGATATGCTTAAAAGAATGCTTAATTTTCGATAATCTCAACTATTACATTTGTTAGTACAATACCGTTAGCTGCAATTATGTTTTAATGAATAGTATAAATTTGTAAATATTCTTTGATACCAATAATTTAATGATGTTAAATCCTTGAATCTGCTTTCTATTATTATTCTCCGATAAACTTTTTCTTGAATGTTTCAATTTCAATTATTAGAATTTATTTTATATGATAGAAATCAAATAATTAAACTGTTCAATTAAATAGATTTGTTTCGATGAGAAAACATTAATAAAATTTCCCCGTCTATGATCGCATTGCAATATCCAATTTTATCCGAAAGATTACTTCCTAAAACACTTCCCGATAAAATTAGTTAACTTATTACTCATTAGAAATTTATACGATATTAATTTTGCAAAGTTAGTTTATATCTAAAGGAAAAAGAGTATTGAAAAAGAGAAAATCACAAATACAGGTAATCATATATGGTATAGATTGAAAGAAATCATTTCATACATATCCATAGAGAGAGAAAGTTAAAAGAAAAGGGAGAAAAGTTGAATTTCTGGAATTCAACTTATTTCAATTATCATAATAGTTGATTGGATATGTATCAAATGATATCTTTCAATCTTTACCATATATCATTACCTTCTGGTTGCTATGGTTACTGAAATTTAATTTTACTTATAATCAATTAAAATTTCATAAAAACATCGTAAATATTTTATAAAATGCTTTTCAAAACTTTATTTGAATAAACTTATGCCATAAAATAAATATTCGGATAGCATTAATGAATTATAGAAGAATCAATTTTAACATAATTTTATTAATTTAAGAATTGAACTTCAGAATTGCATACGAAGAATGCGTTATTTCTAGATGCGTGATTGAGTTTGATTAATTGTATGGATTAGTGTCTGGGTTTTGAAGTGTCAGGGTAGTCTAAGTGTTAAATTTTCTAGGTAAAAGAAAATTAATAGAGAGCTTGTGTACCTTCCTATCTATTAATTAATAGAGAGATTAATAGATTAATAGAGAATTAATAGAGAATAAAATTAATAAATTAATAGAGAGAAAATTAATAGAGAGTTAATAGAGATTAATAGAGAAAAGAAAATTAATTAATAGAGATAGGAAGGTACAAATAAGTGAAGGTAGAGATGTCCCATGGATTTCATTTTTTTACTTCGTAATGCAGAGGCTTTTTTGCTTAGATCGAACCTGTTATAGAATTTTAATATTTTCACTTTTTCCTGAACTGAATTGATCAGTTATACCATGAAGTTGTAGAACTTAGAAGAAAATTTAAAATGTGATTACGAAATAAGAATACTTGACAAACATCTGTCGTTAAGTTTTACCTCTCAGTTTTAATTCGCATTTTTATGAGTTACATAGTGCATTTGTATATTATTTTTGAGTTGAAATTGATGCAACAATAACTTAAATTTCTACAAATTTTAGGCAAGATTTGTAGGTTTAAATTAAGCGATCTAATTTACTGACCTCTTCTCTGGATGTGCATGTTGAATCGGGTGAAGCCTATGAGATGGTATTCCGGAAATTCAAACCACAAAAGCAATGGGGGAAGATGAATACACGGATATTTAAAAATATACTGGCAGCAAGAAATAAACGGAAATTGCCACAGTTTGTAATTCCTTCGGCTATACGGGTCAGCGGATTTTTTCCGAGCTGGCAGTGAAATTTAAACGATTTAATTCGAAATAAGAGAAAAGAAAAAGTTCTGTCTTTAGCTAAATGAAATTTTGTGACTTTTTTAAATTTTTCAACAAATAAGTGTTTTGTCATTCAGTTACAGTGGATGATAAAAAACGGTAGATAATTTCAGATCTAAGTGAGCAACCTTTTTGTCAGTAATAATTGTGCTAAAGAAAATAAAAAAGATTTCACTTTTGCTAGATGACTAATTTAATGGTTTAAATGGATGTGATGTATGATGTCACGTTTAGCATTTTAATTCGAGTTGACAGAAACCTTTAGGAGAAGGTTTGTGAGTAATACTTCAACGGAAATTTGCTTTCTATTGCAATTGTTATCAAAATTCCAGGAAGCAGGATTTAAAATATATGATCCCAACCAGCCGAACTTCTTTGGAACAGAAGCACGAGAATTACCAGTTATTCCTCATCCCGCCTACAGAACACCACAACTTCATGTAGCGATTTTCTTTTTTCATTTCCAGATTCACTGTTGAAATCTTTGTTTAGATGAGCAAAAGCAGATATGATTGTCGAAAATTTTGAATTCTCAAATATTTTGGAGAAATTTGGATTCTCGAAAAATTGGATTCTCCAATATGTCAAATTGCTTAACACATATTTTAGGAACATCCGCTTTATAAATCGGTTAAGTGCTCTCTTTTCGATGGCAGCGTAGCATTTACTGATGGAATCGACCAAGCTTGCTCTCTGTCAAAGGCAGTCAAAAGAATTGGTTTTCCGGAAATTGTTTTAGATTTGGTATGCGTATAAATCCGATCTATGGGTAGAATTATAAGTATTGCTGTATGTCCGATTATAAGTCTTTTTCCTAAGTCAAATAATAACTGTATCAGTATTATTATATTTCACACTGATTATTTTAGGCTTCTAAAATACCATTACCTGAATGTTTCGAAGATCGTCTAAGTGACTGTATAATGCATGGAGAGCGATATGATCCAACATTGGAGAAATTACCACGGCTTTTTGATCCTATCATTTTTTGGGCAAATTATTTCCCAAATCGTGTACACGGCACTCCGGTGTTAACAAGGGGGTGCGTTTGTGTACAATAAGAATCTTCTTCAGGATTTTCTGTTTCATGAAG